ACATCCCTTCTAAGAGTGTACATTCGTACTCTCCTACTTCAAGAATTGCACAGGCACTGTCACTACTGAAAAAGGTATCCGGGTGTATGCCAGTCAAAAACCCTGAATGACAAGAGGTAGTCAGGACCCTGCTGAAGAAAAAAACCCTGCCTAAAGGTTGCGAGACATGGAACTGTACAGTGGAGCTAGGGTAAACCTGAAAAGGGGCATCAGACAGGCTAAGCTGGACTATAAAAACAAAATTCAGGATCATCTCCACAGTAATAACTCAATGCAGGTGTGGAGGACAGTCCTCATCATCACCAACTACAAACCCAGAACCAACGGCGTGGATGGCGATGCTACACTTATAGAGAAGTTGAACTGCTTCTACGCCTGCTTCGAACAGAAAACACCAGAAGTGGCTACTTCACATCCACCAGCCACATCTTAACTGTTGGGGAGGATGGTTTGAGGCGTGTACTAAGGACAGTAAACTCCAAGAAAAAAGCAGGACCCGACTTTAGGGTGCTAAAGGACTGTGCAGACCAGCTCACAGGGGTCTTTATTAAAATATTCAACCTGTCCTTAACACAGACCACTGTTCCATCCTGCCTGAAGTCCTCTACCATCATCCCCATTCCACAGAAAACTACCATCCAGTGCCTAAACGATTTCTGGCCAGTGGCTCTTACTCCAGTCATCTCAAAGTGTCTCGAGGAACTGGTCAGAACTCGCATCATTCGAGGGTTCCCAGCCACATTTGATCCCCACCAGTTTGCATACAGGAAGAACAGATCAACAGAGGATGCCATAGCCATAGCCCTCCATACAACCCTAACTCACTTAGAACAAAAGGACAGTTACATCAGGCTTCTTTTTATTGATTTTAGCTCAGCTTTTAACACCATCGTCCCTGCCAGGCTGGTAACCAAACTACACGACCTCGGCCTCCCTCACTCTGGATCAAGGATCAAGGACTACCTCAGTGACCGCTCACAGAGAGTTAAAGTAGGGCCCCATCGGTCCTCAGCACTCAGCCTCAACACCGGCGTGTGTGCTGAGTCCCCTTCTATACACTCTATACACTCACGACTGCACCCCCACCCACCCGTGAAACACTATTTTTAAGTTGTGGACGACACAACTGTGATCGGGCTCATCACGGGGGAGATGAGTCTGCATACAGGGACAAAGTGGAAAATCTGTGATCATGGTGCAGCCGGAACAACCTGGTCCTCAACATGACAAAAACCAAAGAAATAATAGCTGACTTCAGGAGCAAATCTGACCCTCAGCCCTTACACATTAACGGGGACTGTGTGGAGAGGGTCTCTGAAAACAAAGACCACATGTATGATAAATCAGGAATTTTAAAGTGTTTGATTTAAAACTTAATGTTTTCATTTTAAATTTGAAAATCTAATCAGCATATTCCTCTGATCAATAATCAGAAATAATCAATCAATAATTATCTGTGTGATCACAGATAATAACCATTGATGTCTGCTCAGCTCAACATTTCTGTTCCTGTTTACTTTCGTCAGCAGTTTGAAGGCCACAATGTTCACTATGCAAGGAACTCCCCCCCGCCTCCTCCACCTCAACCCCTCAGTGGAAAATCAACACCCACAGGCAGCTGACAAGGGGGTGGGGGAGGAGTATAAAAGTGAGGAGTTGCTTAGAATGAAGGTTTGAATGAGACTGCTGGATTGGCTCTTAGCGTCGGCTGATTCAGACTCTCAAAGGTCCTCAGGTAGACAGTCCTTCTCAGGACTCTTCATAGCACCTCACCTGTCATCAAACCTCCTCATTCATCCTCAGACCTTCTCGGACCTCGTCAGGTGTGCAGCGATGCCGTGGCTGCTGTCCTCTCAGCTTGACTACGTGTCTTCTTCTCCATCTGAGCGGCAATGTGAGCGGACGGCGTTCTCCTTCTATTGCTCTGTGCGGGAGCGACTTCCTGTCTGGCTGCTGGAAGACATGCGCTGCATGGAGGTCTTCTGCTGGGACGACGGCCACCCTCGAGCCTTCCTGCCATCAGAGGCGCTGCTTTACGCCCTCATACATGACCACCAGGACTATGCACAATACCTGCTCAACAGGTACTCTGTGAGCGCGCTCAGAGCGCCACGGTGCAGTTACTGCTGCTGTCGCGGCAGTGGGGCACCACACCTGAATATTGCGGTTCGCTATGACCGCTTGGTGATCCTCGGTATGATGATGGCAGCTCTGAAGAACTGTGGTGAGCAAACCAAGCGACAGGACTACCTGGACAGCTGCGGCGGCTGCTCGCACGTTGCAGATGCAGGAAAGAGTGCTGTGCAGCTAGCTGTGGAACTGTCGCACGCCGATTCTTTGCTGCTGCTGCTGGTCGAGGGTGCACGGCCCGACGGCCTCGACGCCGCTCTGCAGAGACTTGTTTCTTGTGACGTGTCGAAACGACACCACGCGCAGCGCTGTCTGGACTACCTGCTGCTCTTTCTGCCCAAACCACCATTGCTGCAGCGGCTGCAGGACGAACCGCAGCGCTGGCAAAGCCTGTTGGGAAACAAAGTGTTCAGCTGGCTCCAAGGTGTGGCGCCGCCTCCCCTGCTGCTGCAGGCATTGCGTTCTTTGATGCAGTTTGGTGCAGACCGAATCAGCTTGCTGCCCGACTTCCTGCAGCTGCACAGCTGGTAGTGAGATCATATTAGCATGGAAATCCTCTTGTAATTGGACAGTGTGCCATTGACGTAAAGGCATGATGTAAATAGACTGAAAGCATCAGGCTTTAGGTCCCAGAGTATGGTGGAGCTGCCCTGAGATAAGGTTTAACTGCCAATCAGTTTCATTAGCTGCTTAGACAGGACACTGCTGGATCTCGAGAACACATGACAGGAAACATCACACCTAATAAAACCTGAATAAACTGTAAATAAATTGTAAATAAACTGTAATAAAGTGTGATGGCGATAAAAGCCGAACCTTCCTGGCTGTGTTTGTGATCCTGATGATGGTTTAATTAATTTTAGATCAATAGTGCAGACTCTGGTGTATCTTTGTGAATCTAAATAATCAAGTTATTTTTTTTTGTGCAGCAAAGCCCAAAGTTTTAAAATGGTCCTCCATAATCCAATAGGATGAAATCTGGTTGAGACAGACAAAAAAGGATTATATGATCGAACAAGATCAGATAATCCAGTCCGGGTGTTTAGCTGAATCACACTGATTTGTGTTGTTCAAATTATTTTAGGATAAGATAAGATAAGTGTAAGGCGGAGGCAGATCTCCCGCCATGGCAGGGAAATTTGTGCATTACCTCAGTTTAGGTGCAGATGGCAGAAGAAAAATACAAAAAACAAATAAAATACAAACAAATAAAAAATAATTAAGATAATATACTATATACAATGGTGGCATACACAGTATGTGATTATGGATAAAGGGTTGTGGAAATATGCAAGACATAAATGTAACTATTCTACCATTACTATTACTATGTAAGTAATAGATAAGTATTTTACTTATAAGTATAGACATGTACACGCACACACGCACACACTAATTATACATACACATATACCTGCACACGTCCATACATATAAAAAGTGCAATATGCATGAAGTTTGACCGTGGATGTCCATAATGTCCAGTGACGTCGTGACTGAGGAGTTATAGATGCTAACTGCTGTTGGGAAGAATGATCTGCGACAGCGCTCCTTCCACTTTGATGAGATCAGGATTACTTACATCCATCCAGCAGGCTAAAACGACACTTGGGTGTGGATGAAATAATGAATTAATTGCTAATGAAATATTTCATAAAATACTTGTGTAAAATCTGATCATGGTTAAGGATCTTTTATTTAGTGTGAATTTTTTCCAGTTCTTTTTTGGAGAAAAAGCCCAGTCTGAATTGGCCTCCGTCTGATCAGCAGGACCCAGTGTGTCAGCTTCTTCTCAGGTTAGATTCACTGTGGCAGTGATGTGGCAAAACTTTTAACCTGCATCTGTTTGAACTCTGACCTCAGATCTGACTCGCTTCAGCTCCAGCTGCTCTGTCCCTCTTGTCCTCCTTCCCCCCTTTTTATTGACTTATTTCAAACAAATAGGCTGTTTTGTTCTTGACCTCAGTGAATAAAACATTTGATGACATGAGTTAGGGTTGGATATAAAATCTGATAATATCAGATATAATCTGATCAAACATTTATCCTAAACAACCTGAGGTGAGATAGTTGACCCGTTTCCCCTCAGAAAACTCAGAAGTCCTGTGGACTCACCTGCACCTCACTCCTTTTATTCTTCTTTCCCTTTTAAATAACATTCTCGTGTCCTCAGGTTTTATTGAAGTGTCAGTCAATCAACGACTGTGCTCAGGTGTGATGAAGATCTTTTTGCTTTTAACTCCGTATGAGTATTGATCATCTGCAGCATCTGACTTCAGTACTTGAAGTTTCTGATTGTAGTCTACTGACCAATCAGGAGTAAAGGAGCAGTGGATCCAGAATATGGAGGAGGGTTGTGACGAATCACAGAGACTCTCAGACATCATGTGACACTGTCAAATAATTAAAACCTTCCTTCCATTTCACATCACCTGACACACACACGCCGTATCTTTTATTACTCATAAAACATTTGTCGCTCATTTGTCGTGGCTGACTTCTCATCAGAAGGTTGGCGCTTTGATCCCTGGCTGCTCCGACCTGCATACCTGAGCAAGACACTGAATCCCAAGTTGCACCTGATAGGTATGCATGCAATGTCTAAATGAGGCGTGTTGTGCAGTTCCATGTACCATGTTGGCAGATCCAGAAGTATGTGGACGCATTCATTTTTATAGTATAGACCAGGGGTGGCAACCTGTCTGATGATGAGTGCCATCTAAAATTTCCTCAGATGTCAGTGTGCCATATGATTGCATTAGCAATAAATTTAATAACGCTCTATATTAACAGTTACACACTATCTAGAACCACTTTATAGAATTATATTTGTTCACAGATGTTTGCAGCTATCAGCGAAGAGTTATCAGCTATTTTGAAACAGAAAAAAGACTTTTTATCCATAACAAGAACTCCATAACTGTACAACAGAAAATACAAATGCTATTTATGGTCTCCTCACAACACTGATAAGAAAAATAAACTAAGCCAATATGGCATGTTTGTTAATACAGAGACACACATGTTAATGTGATCTCTGGTCTCCCACTCAGAGACACAGGTCTCCCAGTGTCCAGCATTCAGACGGCTACCTGAGGACTCATTTGAGGGAAAATCTGATCACACAGATATGTAGAGCCAAATACTGTCAATAAGGCCTCTGCAATGTTCTGAAGACAGTTAAACTTGTCAGGTAGTGATGTCCAGCAGGTGAACATGCAAGCTCCATGAACACGCACAGCTGTGGATTCCTGCTGCGTTTGTAGTTCTGCAAACTTTTACCCCCACAGAGTCGAGCTTTTCAGTTCAATCAGCTGCATTTCGATGTCCTCTGTGTCCAACCAGTTAATGTGAGACAAATCCAGCTGGTTTGATCAGAAAAGAAAACATTGGTCCATACACCTGAAAAGTCCCAAAAACACATTGTGAATTCTGTCTCGAGTCTACGGATGTATCCGTGTATTTCTCGCGGTGCTGATGCTGAGCGGACAGCTCCTGAAGCTTTTGAAGTGTTGGAATATGGAAATTTCAACATCGCTTGAAAAAACTGCCAGCTAGCAACGTCCCTCTCACCAGTAGGCTAAGTTACTTTTAGCCAATTACAAGCTGAATCTGGTAGTTGAGGTTAAGTAAGATACCATCAGTAAGAAGCGGCAAAACTAATATGTCTACGCGAGTTAATCTGCAATGTGTACCACCGGCCCGGCTATTTATTTTTTAATGCACCTTCTCAGATTAATTCACTGCGTGTCGTGCCATCAGCTAACCCTTAGCGTGCCAGCTGTGGCACACATGCCCAGGGTTGCCGACCCCTGGCTTAGACTGTTTGTTGGAGAGTTTGCTGGTTTGTTGATCTCAGCTGAAACATGAAGGCAGAAAACATCTATTCATTTTTCCTTGAAATTCTGTCAATCCAATCAATAACCATTGAATAAGCTGACGCTGCATCAGTGTTTAAATGTGTTTATTAAGTTAATGGATGAAACACAACAGGTGAGTTTACACTGACTCTGTCCAATCAGTCTACACAGGATGACATCACAGCTGCTTAAGATCCCATGGCAACACTGTCAGAGACAATCAGGCGGTGCTTAAAGGTCCACTAGACACCTGGGCCAACACCAGAACTACACTGCTGTCCATTAGAGTCCCGATTTCTGTTTTTGATTCAGTCTCCGGAGGATTTTTACATGTTTTCATGCTGCTGTGTTAGTGGGCGGAGCTTCTGTCTATACCATGGTAACTACGACTTTTAATGAGCCTCAGAGGAAGAAAATGGAGCCGCTTCAAGTCAGTGACACATCCCTTTAACATCTCTATTTACAATGACCCCGTTAGAATAAGTTAAAAAAGAACCAAGTAGAATAGATCCAATCAGGACTGATCTCAGGGGGCACCCCGCCCCTCCCTTCTGCAATTAAAGTGCTTCCTGTTAAAACCTAAATAAAACATTCACTTCATTTCCCAACAACGACCTGGCCTACCTGAGTGGCAGCCATCACAGGAAGCCCAGATGTGATGTCACATCCTGTCTGTCCCTAAGGAAGAGGAAGTGCTGTCACTGATGTGTCACAGCACTGTCAGGCGACGCTGTGATGTCACAGGTTAGATGAGCTCCCATTCGTCATCAACATCATCCCCTCCAAGAGCGGGGCTTGAGGGGGGGCGTCTGAGGGTCGTCTGTGGGAGGAGTTTCGTCAGCCGATGGGACAATCCGCCAAGTTGAGTCACTGCCCACAACTCATCCTCTGGAGTGACTGCAGAGAGGGAGAAACACACCTGAGACACAGCTGTGTCAAGTATCGGTGCACCAGTATAAAACAGAATAAACCAGTCTTACCAGTGAACCAGCTGGCATTCCCAGGGATCTTCTTCCAGTAATCTCCGGCTGGGTTTCGTTCAGAGACGCCGTAGCGGCGAGCCAGATCTCCGTTTACGCAACGAACCCACGCAGTCCGACAGCTGAGGACTAGCTGACTCACAGCCAGACCTACACACACACACACACACACACACACACACACACACAGTGAGACACTCACAGACAGACAGGTGTAGGCGGGTGATGACATCACACAGGTGAGTACCTGGAACCAGCTCCCACTCTGTCCCAACGGGCATCTCGTCGCTGAGCCCGGTCCTGACGAAAACGCTTCCTCTGTTGTCGAGCGCCCAGAGGAGCCTGTCATTAGGACTCGTCTGAATGCTCATCAGCTGCACTCCGATCGGCTGCAAAGACAAGACATCACAGTCACCTGGACAAGTGTCACTGCTTCTGAGGCTTTACCTTCAGGAAACAGGAAGTTAATAAAGGGAAAATTACAGGTGGAGAGAACGAGGCGTGAGAGAGGTTTAAACGAATGGTAAATGGACTTCTTACGTAGAGTCGAAGGAGCTTTGAAAGAAAAGTGTCTGGATTTCTTCAAGTTTCTTGAAGATGTCTCATCCGAGAAGCTTCTTGACTACTGAGAGCAACTGGTGCAGTCCAGATGCTAAGCCCTATGGGAGTGTCCCCCCCAAAAGGGTCGTGGACCAACTATTGATCCTCTACCTAATCACACGAGCCAAGCTGTCAAAACAGGTGTGGGTCACAATCAGCCATGGTTTCTGGTGAACCACTGTGAGACCTAGCCCCACCCTATCATGTGACTAACTGAGGTCGAATGAATGAAGTACAGACATTTGTCTTTCTGAGCTCCATAGACTATGATGACCTGGGCGACTGAGAACCTGCACAGACTTCTTATGAAGAGCTTTTCTACTCTACACACTTTATACGACTCGGCTCATATTGATACAAGCACTTAGTATTCAAAGCACCTGAAAATGACCCTGCTGAAGTTAGGCGGGTTTACCTGTGGTTCGATGTTACCTGTACAGGTGGTTCGATCTGGATCCAGGCCGGTAGCATCATGCTGGGATTGAGCGGCTGCGTCCCGACTCTGAAGTAAACGACTCCTCGGCTGTCCACGGCCCAGACGTTCTGACTGCCACAGCTCACGCTCACCAGACGCACACTTCCTGTAACACACAGCTCATCGTGACAAAGGGAAACATTGAAACCTTCTCCTGGACTCATACGAAAAACAGAGCAGTTTGGTCTGAGCCTGACCAAGGAGCACAGATTAAACACGACCTGAAAACCCTTTTTATTTTTCAAAGTAACAGTAGAACATTTTGATCCTTTCTTGGGGTCGGGGGGGCACCGTGGACAGGTCGCCAGGCTGTTGTCTGTTGACAGATAACCATTCACACTTACACCCATGGGCAATTTAGTGTTACCACTTAACCTAGCACCACTAACTGCGTGTACTTGGACTGTGGGAGGAAGCCGGGGTGCCCGGAAAGAACCCACACAAACACAGGGAGAACATGCAAACTGCACACAGAAAGCCGGGTGGTGGAATTGAACTCGGGACCTTGCTGTGAGGCAGCAGTGCTAACCACTGTGCTGCCCAGGAGGGAAGCCTGCGGCTTTGACTCAACACTGGAAACCTGACCAGACACGGGAAGGCTTGACAAACTGATAGTTCAGTTAAATCACTCATTTGTGATCACACACACACACACACACACACACACACACACACACACACACACACACACACACACACGAGTTTATCATTTTTTAATAAAGAAAGAACATGTGACAACACAAAGTGTGTGACATCATGTGTTCTTTGTAAATGAGATTCTCATTGGATCTGTGTGAGCTGGTGGGAGGAGCTAAAAGACTTTCTCCCAGCTTCAAAACAAACAGTAACTGTTGTTTTAGCAACCAACACCCGTCTGAAGTCGCTGTGTTTTTCTCTGCGTGAAACTGAAATGTTACAAGAGACCGCTGACTCCAGAGAGGACGCCAGTCATGTGACCTGAGATAGTGAGAAGGTCAGTGGGCTAAAAACAGACCGGACATCTGAGACAGGTCACAGTGTGACGCACACTCACAGACACACACACTGACCTATGAAGTGCCGCCCTGTTACACAAGTTCCAACTGTCAGTGTGACACACAGAAACACAGCTGTGTGTGTGTGTGTGTGTGTGTGTGTGTGTGTGTGTGTGTGTGTGTGTGTTTCTTGCTGATCCCTTTCACAGCAGTTTTTAAAATCACGTTAATGTTCACTCATTTGTCACAAATAAAGTTTCCTTGTTGAGAAGAAATGCAAAAAACATGAAACAAAAACGTAAATAAAAGGAACAGGAAGTGTGTCGCTGCTTCCTGTTTTTAGGTTTGTTATATAATAGAGGCTGCATCTCTTGCGGACCCGTCCTTCACATTCTACGTGGGCCGGGTCCTCAGAAGGTCGGGTAGGCCGGAAGTAAACGGCTGTGAAATTGGACGGTGTAGGTTTCAGATTAGCGTCACCGCTGTCTCGGTGGAATTTAATAAACTCGGCCGTCTGCTCCTTGCTGTCTAAAATATAACAGGACACTGGAGTAAACTCGACTGTCTCACACTTCTGATTAATCAGTTTTCTGTTTGATGTTTATTCAGCTGTGTGAAAACTAGAACTATAATCTCAGCCAAACCGATTTACTCAGGAACGAATAAAACACTGAAAAAAGCCAAACAATAACATTTTTAAGTTATCTAAGTGACTCATGTTTAACCTGAGTAGCGAAAGTGCGTGGGGGTTTGAAAACGATGTGCGGGGAGTTTGCTGTTATCGCCCTGGCTAGCTGTCGAGCTGGTGGGTAACAGACGTCGCCGAAAACGTCGGAGCACTTTTGCAAATACGTGATGTCTTGATAAACCGAGCAGATATTTGAAGTTTACACAGCTACATT